TAGATTTCTGACGACCAACTATCGATTTTTATGACTTCCAAAACACGAGCCATGCTTTTGTCCAAGTCCTTTCGTTCCAGCACTGTCAGATTTTTGGAGCAGCTTTGAGCGAACCCACAAAATGCTTATTTCTTTTTTTCTATTTCGGCCTCCTTCGACTTGCTTCGTAAGGGATGACCATCCCATATTTTCTATAATTGGATTGAGTTTCTGTCGAGTATAGACTAGATGATCTCGTAGACAATAAAAGTCGTTGTAATCCATTTAAGCTTTAGAAGTTTCCAGTGGAAGATTGCAGAAGCTTGTCATCATTTTTACTTCGTGGTAATCTAGTTGCAATTTACTGCAAATTTAATCCGAATGCGCGAGGTAGACATTAGGTCGGTAGCCATCAATAACTAGAAAATTTGAAAGAAATTTGATAGAAATCGCTCCAAATATTGTTCAAAACCGGATAGAAGAACTCAAGAAAATGTTAAAGGAATAAACAATTGTCTTGAGCAAAAAAGAATGGAGTGAGCATAAGAAGACGAAGAAAGAGAGAGTCAAGCCCTGCGACATGTCTAAATCCATGGACACGACACAGCAAGGAGTACCTAAGCAGAATTCAACTTCCGGATTTTTCACTGTGTTTCTGCCCTCTCCCTGTATTTCCTTAATCAGCTTTGCTTACACCTTCGTAATTACGAAACCCTTATGCCTAAGGCATACCTCGCGCGATTCCGGTCACTCCGCGATTTGGCATCACAGCGCTTTCTAATTCGTAGTTAATGCATTTCCTTTGGTCAGGACTTGACCCATTTGCGACAACTTACGCATGCTACCCGCCTATGCGTTCGAAAAGCGCGCACGATAAATTTGTAGAAATCTGGCAAATCGCCAAGTCGCTTGAAAGCGGCGATCTGGTCGAATCGCGTCAGGCATGCCTTAGGCTTTAGCTCTATTGTAACAGACCCACACAGACAAACACTAAGCTTTACGTACGAGATTAGCTAGATAGTAGAGGTGAAACTTGTAGAGGTGAAACTTTGCAGGTGAAACTTCTTCGTTTTATTGCGGTTTTAATTTCAAATAGTAACTAGAAAATGCTGTTTCATGTCAATCGCATGCATAATCGCTCTCTACGAGAAAGACTTGGAATCAGGGCCCAGCGCGTTGCCTTAGAGCATTTTTTAGAACGAAGTCCCCCATGACTTCGATGTTACAAAATCCGTTTTATGTCTCACAGGGGAAGGTATATGTACTCGCAGTGGAGTTTCCCTATGAGATGTATATCAATCGAAAGGCCTTTGATCACTGATTTTAAATGGTCGTTTGCTTTTTGGTTTGCTGAATAAAATTGCTGGCTCTTTTTGGCCTTAAATGACACTGATTTTGCTGCTTATTGCACAATCAAGGCGGCAAGGCGGCAGAGGAGCATCAGAACTACTCCCACCAATTTTTTTTTGTGTACAATAGATATATCCCACACATTTGGGCATGCAACTTTGGAGTAAATTCGCATTTATTAAGTAAGGTCATTTACACAGTACCTGATCATGCAAATTAAAAGCGGAAAATGCCTCCAACTTTCTTCAGGAAACCGATAAGCAGATATAAAGGCTTGTTTTGAAATCAGCGCTCAAAGCCTGTCGACTGATATACGTCTTAAGGGAACTATCCTGCCAGTCATATACCTTCTCTTGTCAGTAGGAAAACCCTTTGCTCAATTAGCATAACAATACAAAGAAGCATATTTTGAGGCATTCAATATAACAGAAAATCGAAAAACAGAATTTATATTTTATTGAAGATTCGCGTGTCTGTAAACGAACACGTTCATCGCGTAGAACCTGATATGTTTGCAGATTTTTTTCGAGCTCCTGGACATTTCGCAAAGATGATTTTCTTTGCTTTTCGTCTCAGAAACAGAGCTCAATTAGACCTCAGACCGTTTGTGGCGTCCCGGGCCCTGCTTGGAGTTTAAGAAAGATCTACATGGTTTAGATGATTTGAACATTGTTTCATAATTTTCCGTGTTGCGCTGCAATAAGGCTTGGGTTTTGCGAAAATGTATACTCATATGGCGAAAAAAGGTTTGTGAACATGTCACAAATCGATTTTTGCATGATTTATAGTTCGGAAAGAACAAAATCGAGGGGAGTCGGATGTTCAACTCCGCTTGTTTGAGAATTTTTTTGATAAATCGTTTAAAAGGAAAGAATAGTCAGATTTTTCCATCAAATATTATATCATAGTTCAAAAAACGAACTAAATTTGGGTGTGTACACTTGGCATCAACACAACAAATCATCAAATTTTCCACCATTTGCATAGTCATAGATGGCCAAATGCAATCGTTCTAAATTTCATTAAAGCTAACTTCCAGTGCAAGTATCTTTAAATTCCCACATTTTTGGCTGCAGAAACTCAAAGACAGCTGATCATAATATCCATTGTGGTTCGACATGTAGCCAAAGGTTCTATGTATCTAAACACCAATTTACTCGCCTGTGCAACTACGACAACTGAAACGGAACTTACGATTAGAAAGTTAAAACAGTGATTTTCTAAAAGGCTAGTCATATGAGGGCATTATCGTCATTTATTGATGACGGAAAATTCTGAACATCTGTCATATAAGAGCAGAGATATAAGGCTACCTCATCACAAAGAATCTTGATAAAATAACTGTTATTCGAATTGTTATAGAGCTTTGAAGCTGCTTGTCAGAAGAACATTATTAGGTTGTCCCAAATATATACTCCTTTTTTAGATAATTCAAGCTGTTTTTGTTTTTCTAGTATACTTAGGGTATCATTCGATAGAGCAGATTAAGCTCTACAAAATAACCATCAAGGATTCGCCTAATTCGCATTCCAGATAAAGTTTGAAGCCAAAATCAGAAAAAATCTGACACCTCAAATTGAATTTTTGAAGGAAAAAGAAAAACCCTACGGATCTTCTTGGTCATTATGCGATAGGCAATAGTAGAACTCAAATATGCCTTAGTGGATTTTTAGAAAGCAAAAAAAAAGACAGCTCAAAAATGGCAAACTCTGCTCTCAGCGCCCCCCGTGTATGTCATTGTACACCAACAGCCTTACTAAATATAATTTTGAAACTTTACCTCGACATGTGCTCTCATGATCAAGAAATACCAAGTTCCACATGAAAAAGACGAGAAAGGTAGCATTTTGGCATTTTCGGACCGTCCTTTTTTCTCAGTTTTGAGCGCCGAAAAAATCCACCAAATACATTTTTGAATACTACTTTGTGTCTTTTATACAAAAACCAAGTTAGAAGTTTGTAAAAATTTTCTGGAATGGGTCCGATTTTTAAGGTAGTTGAGAAATTTTGATTTTCGAGTGCAAATTTTACCTGAATCGCGACTTAGGTGGATCCTTGGTGGCCTTTTTGAAGAGTTTAATCCGCTCTATCGAACGGTACCCTAGATCTGTCAGGAAAACAAAAACAGCTCATTTTGTTTGAAAATAAATTATACAGTTTTTTTGGGACAACCTAATATTTATTAAGCAACCCAATACTTTCTTACTATCAGCCAGAGCTGACGGCACCCATTCTGAGAGGAGAACAAAAGCAAGGTCTTTTACCTCGTAATTTATGGCTCTTTGTTTTTTTATTCACAACCGCTCACCTTCAAACCTCTAAAGCAGCAAGCTGCAGAAGTATTTTTCTTTGTCTTACAAGACACATTGACATGATATTTGAGTATTTGGAGGAGCTTTGATCTTGGCAATTCAAACGATTACATCAAATCTCGCATATGCATGACCACTGCATGATAGCTTCAATGTTAACCTAGATATCTCTGAATCTTTTGTACACCGAGCTGAGCTTTGCACAGATTTCTTTAAAATGATTATGCAAACTCTTAAAGAAACTATGTACTGAAGATTGATGATTTACATTTGTAATGATTCAGTCAAATCTATTTTCTAATGTTAGCTGCGTGCAGTACTGACAGTCTATCGCATGCCTAGCTACATAAAAGGGATCGTTTTATTTTGGAGTTTTGCACATTTTGTACTTCATAGCTGTAACCAGGGCCACGGAAAGGCCCCAGAATGACAAAACCGTGGAAGGCGAAGTTTTGAGTGGTCCACAACTAGAAAAAAATTAGTAAACAATCTCCTGGAGTCGAGAATATGTGAAAAGTTTCTCCACGCAAGACACCTCTACGAGACTGCGTTCATACTGATCTGAAAGTTTGGAAACAGTTCTAGCACAGCGCTCAAACTGCGCGCGGTGCTGGAACTCTTCCCGAACTCAGTATGAAAGCAGCCCAAGGCCTAAGGCGTACCTCGCGCGATTCGGCTAAATCGTGACGTTCACGCGACCTGGCAGTTTGCCAGATGTCTCCAAATTTATCGTGCGCGGCTCTTCAATACATGAATGCCTAGCTTCTCTGATTGCAACGGATCAAGTAATGCCTTAACAAAGCGCTCTGACGAACCACTATGAACAGTCGTTCCGGTATCAAATCGCGCAAAGACTGAAATCGCGTCAGGTATGCTTTAGGCCTAAGGAACTTAAAGCAGCCTAAAGGCGATACCGTAGTACGTATGAGTCAAATTTCGCACATGAAAAAACCAACAACTTGCTTCAGCGTCTCAAGCTGAGTCCAATTCTATGTATGTCTCTTTTGAGAGACCAGTTCAACATAATACCACTTCCTCGAAAGCAAAGCTCTGAAGCAAGAGGTTATCATAAACGAGACGCAGTCCTTACTTATAACAGATCTGAGAAATGTTTCTATGTTCTTTGTATTAAGCTGTTGAGTCATTGAGTCACATGTGTGTATTCACGCGATATTCGCGCATGTATTGTAGAAATAAGGGGATTCGTCTAAAGCTGTTTTGAAACAGAATGGATATGAGCATGCCAGCATGCAGACTTAGCAATAACTTCTAGGCAGAATGACCTGGTGTATCGGCATGATAACTAGCTAAAAGTATTGTTTTCATATTTGAACATCGCTATCATAGGTATTGTTCTGAATGGTCGAGTTTACGAAGAACACTGCACTTAATGATGCGCAGCTGTTCAATGCAGACGGTAAGTAAACTAGTGGCAGTGTAATCTATAGTTGTTCTAATAGCCATCACGATATGCAATATAAAAACTCTGTTTGATAATGCACTTCATTCTACAATGAGGTTTGCATTCATACTCCTCGTAAGTCTTATATCTTCTTCTCAGAAGTTCTTCGCAATACGATCAACTTTAGGCCCTACTCGCATTAGCGCTGCTTGTAGAGAGTGCAGGAAAAAAACAAAAAGGAAAAAAGGGGAAAGTTAATCCCAAGAAATCAAAGAAGATCCATAAGAAGAAACCTCTGCCGAGGCCACCACCACCACCACCACCACCAAGACCGAGACCACCACCACCACCATTCAAAGGATGCATATCACAAGAAAGCGAAACTCTAAATTGGCTGCTGAAAGAGCATATTGAAGCAGAAGTGAGAATGCGATTTAACGATACAAAGAAAGTGAAAGCGGTTAGTCAAGAAGTCTTATAATTAAGAAAATAACAAAAAAGAAAGGTAGGATGACAAGAAGTTTACAAGCATTGAATGAGAATGAGTGCTCCTACAAATCCTTGAAACTTGATTAAGCTTAATTTCTGCAATTTTCAGTAAAAGTGTAATTCTTTTAGTTGAATATGTGCTGGCTTGCAGAGATGGCGAAAATAGCTCTCACTTACCAAGGCCTATTCCCTGGAATAGAGTCTTTCAGATACGGCTACAGAGTGTAAGTGTGGAAATCGCATTATATGGCATTACATATATTAAAGCCCTTTGGCCATGCAGCTCTTTTCAGTAGGGAAGTGAATCCAGATCCAGTACAGTTCTTCACTAGTTTTATTACGCAGTACCAAGAAAAGATACTAAAGGTGGTTCATTATCACACACTCTCCAATGCATATCTCATCGTGTCATTTTCAGTTTCCCACTTTGGATGCTGGTAATGGAACTTTTGTGTTGCCTTTCGGCTGCAATTGGAATCGTGCAGAAGTCCACTGTGTTTTTGTGACCGAAAACTTCTTCAGTTTCGTGCTTCAGCTTGCGCAGCTTGGAAATAGACCACTAAAGAAACCAAACGAGATATTTTCGTCAGAACTGCTCAAATTAATAGGCGATTTAGCATAATTACAATACTTTTGTCTAGGTTATATAAATACAGAGTAAATGATTACAAACTTGTTGAAAATATAAAATTCGAGTGATTGCAGAGAAGCAATAGTATATTAACATTGAATTTTCCTTTTCTTACAAACAACGCACGTTGTGTTGCACGGGACAAAAAATGTTTCTTGCTTGTAAGTAATTTTCGACTTCAACGCAGTTATTTACTACAAGTTGTCACTGACAATATCTTCCATCTTGTTCTATGACCTGTTGGGCGACGTCATGCTTGAGATTCAAAATGTATTCTGGTGCCTCATTGAGATTCAATATTATGAACAGAGTGAAAATTTTTATTGTAGAATGCAACCAATGCAACAACTATACGTCTATGTTTCACGTTTGCTCAGCGAGACAATTTCAAATGTATTTAGGCTTATATGAAGCACATACTTTTTAAGTAATGCCTCAGCTTCAAAACCTATTCGTTAATATGTACTAAAAATCCGTCAAGCTCTTTCGCAAAACTGAACAAGAATTAACAGACATTTCAAACAGAATAAAATTCTGGTAGCAGCGCACCCTGAAAATTTATCATTAAATCATAACATCTTGCAAAATAGCATTCATGATTGCGCAGCGATAACTGTTTGGTAATTCATATATGCTTCGAATGTAGTATGCGAACAAAGGAGCGCAAAATATAGTTATACACAAGCAAAAGCGGAATTTCTGTAAATTTAGGCTAAAAAGCTCAACAATAAATATGCACACAGCCAGACTCTTTTCAAAATCAAAATTGTCGAGAAAAGGTGATTGAGCAGTACTCATAGCACTATTGGACTATTCGTTTCGAACAGCAGAGTTCCTTCTTGTAGTTTTTCTCCTGAATCCTCCTATGACTTAAAATGAGCTAGTTGTGAGCATCACTTGATTTTTATTGCGGAAGTGCGGATAGCTAGTAATTGTTTCATTCTTGGAACAGCAAAATTACTCCTACAAAAAAGTCTGCGGAACTTATAGTGTCGAAATTCAAGATGCTTTGCATCTTGCATGGAAATAATGAGGGAAGCGCTTGGAAACTAAAGTTTGAACTCACTTCATTTGTTGACTTCAAGAGGTAGAGGGTCTGTGCATGTAAAGAAGTACACCATTTAAATACCTCAACCATTTTCTTCGAAATCTTGAAGATTTCAATGAGTATATTTGGTTCGGACACTTGCATCTACATCGCAAGGCAGCTATCAGCTTTGCAAGATCTATCGCACGAAAGATTAGAGTTCAGTGTAAATTCATCTTAGATTAGCCATTGACTAATCTAGTAGAAGCTACGTAACCGTCGAATATATGAATACTCTGTGAAGCTGATTAGAAAATTCTTGAAAATATGTCTACATCGAGATAGGCTAAGAAATGTAAAGAGCATGGGTCATATCAGTGACCGAGAGTTCCCGGTGGAGAAAAGGGGGGAAGAACCTTTATTAAATGAGTGCATAGAGTCAATCATAGCACCTCACAACTTCCTAAATTTTTTAGCCCATAACTTCGAATTTTAAAAAAAAAAGAGAGACAAGGCGGCAGCTAACGAAGCTAAAAAAATTTTCAAAGATTTCGATTAATTTGATTGTTTTCAAATAAAAACAAGTTACTAGCAGAATTTCATAGCCCCGTGTGGGCCATTTTTTAAAATTTAACGACTTTCCGGATCCCCCTTCGATCCGCCAATGATGCACACTATTACTGATGGCAATACAGTAAATCATTCTAGCTAGCGTAGGTATTCAAAAACTTAGAGCAGTGGAGTTCCTGAAAATTCAATTAAGCAAAATGTATAAGCATTTATCATTGTAAGATAATGCAAATAACGTATATGAACTTTACAGAGTTTACAACGAGTGCGTGCATAGTCATACCAGCTGTTTCACCTCCACGCAAATGGCAACTAACATAATATTGTCAACCTAATTGTAATTCTCTATTCAGCAGTTTTAAGTTGATCGAAGTAGTGTTTCCAATGAAGATCGCCTTACTTTTTGTAGTAAGTTTTTCGAACATTCGCTCAAATTTGATTATCCGCATGCATTCGCATTTATTTAGATTCTAATTGCTCTAGCGGTGTTTGCGGAGGCTGCCAAGAATCCCAAGAAACCGACAGCAAAGAAAAAGGGAAAGAAACCGGGACTTGGGAAGAAGAAGAATGTTCACAAGAAAAACAACAAACCAAAGAAGAATCCTGCGCCTGCGCCACCGCCGCCGTTTACAGGATGTATCTCGCCAGAGAGTGAATTCATAAACAATGTGCTACAACAGCACATTCAAGCAAAATTGGAAGGAATATGGGGAAGCCGTTACAACAGACCATGGCTTGAATTCAAAGTGGTTCGTTTAGAGCATTTTCCTATGATAGTTTGACAAAGTATTGCAAGTATTTGCAGTATTAACACATTCACGACAATACGATCCATCTGTGGGTTGTAAGATTCCTGAAATTCTAACTTTTCTAGTATACGATGGAATTCTATGGTGTTCTAATACATGATTGGAATTCTACGGGGTTCTAATACATGATGGGGATACCTTGGCGAAGCTCTAGACAGAGTGGTTCGGGTTCGGGATATGTATTGTAATGTTACGGTAGGTATACCGGATAGAGGTAAGGCACAAACCATAGCTCAAATTTTTCGCGAAGTGGTGCTGTCTTTGAAAATTCAAGTTTACATGCATGAGAAATACAGGAAGGGCACGAGACTGATGTCAGCCCATCAAAATATCGATTTTATTGAATTTATTGATTTTTCGCATTGTTCACCCCAGAAAACTCAAACCTTTAGTCGAGTAGATTTAGCGGTAAATATAGTGCGCTTGCACAGAAGGTGAAATGCGGTGAAATTTGCGCGTGAACAAGTAGCCACGTCAGTGCCGCGGGTATCTTGCGCGCGCAATTGACCGGCGCCACAGTCGAAACTATTTCTTCACGCGCCAATTTTACCGCATTTCACCTTCTGTGCAAGCACACTATATTTACCGCTAAATCTATTCGACTGTATATATAGATTTTTTAGCATGCTGATTACAAAAATGGTATTCTCAAGTTCTAATACCGTCTTCTTACATCAGTTTCTTGATTCTTAAGAAAATTCTACCGTACTGCTACCGTAGTCCCACTGTGGGGAAGTAGTGAACAAAGTGGGCACTATAATCGTGATCAGCACGTGAAATAACCCCAAAACACACTTTTTCATGAACATCCATGATGACGTGTTCGTACACAATGACTACCGTAATCTTAACGTATACTGCCAAAAACTGAAATATCACATTTTGGCAATCAGCGCCTTTGATATCCCATGCGGGAAAATTCTTGGAGACTTGTTTTGAATTTCTTTCAAAAAGACTACTATATCGGACAAAACGACTCACGAGTGGGCCGTAAGTTTGGCAAAGCGAAAAAGGCTCTGATCGTAAACGACAGTGATCGAAAAATTGAATTTGTCGTGAATGTGTTAAGTAGAATTGAGCTGTTAACGCTCTCAATAGTCTTTGAAAATTTTATAGAATCAGCATTGGTAAAGGCATCAAAAACGATCGAGTTTTTAGATGAAATATTGCTGGCTTGCGGAAGTGGCAAAGATAGTTCAAAAATACCAAGGACGTCTTTCTGGAGTGGAGGCTTTCAATTACAGAGTGAAAAAGTACGTTCAGCTATTGAACATATGACATGGTCTTGATCTCATCTTTTTCATCTTTTTTAGTAGAGGTAACGCAAAACCAGATATGGGTCAACTCCTGGAAGGATTTAGAACACAATTTGAGGGAAAAATTTCAGCGGTAAGTTGAGCTCATAATAGATCTATTTGCTGCATATATATGATTATCAAGAATGCAGAGTTGAAAATTACTTTTAGTTTGTACCTATGGTTATCAATGAATTTGCGGTGCTACCATTCGGGTGCAGCTTCACCAACGGGAAAGTGATGGAGATTGATTGTCTCTTCCTGACTGAAAACTTCTTCGAATTCTTGGTTCAGCTTGCACAAATCGGAGGAAAAGAAGTTAAACCTCCTAGTTTGATATTTTTAGCACCTTATCTGCAACGACTCCTTGCTGAATAATTTCTAACTATTGCAAAATCATTTGCTTTGAAGATTGACATAAACAACATAAATTAACATGAGCATGCGATGGATGGGCCATAACATACAGGCCATGAAACTTCATGAAGACACAACACATGGCATCAAAACGCAATTCAAAAATTATGTGGCAAGGGGATCCGTCCGAAGTGGCCTTTTTTACACACGAAATTGATACGACTGTAAAGAGATCGAACGCTATTCAAATCTGTACTGGCCATCTGCCGAGCGCCTCTGGACGTCGAGTCATGAGCGTCTTTAAGTTAAAACATTGAACGCACAGTTAGTACAAAATTCGTAAGAATTGCTCAAATGGTCTGATGTTGATTATCAAAGCACTCCACTTGAAGAATACCTTCTGTTCAAAAACCCATACTCAAACTGCTCCATTTGAGCGCTGAAAAGATCGTAAAATTTAATTTTACCAAGATTATGCGTCCGTATTTCGCATCAAGAAATTATTCATAACTCGGCATGCAGAGGCGCTCGACAGATAGTGAAATCAGATTTGGTATCCCGTTTGATGTTCTTCAAAGTGATATAAAACACATTTGGCCGCTCTGATCGGACCTCCCCTGTTTGGCCGTGGGCATACCTTGCGCAATTGCAAACGCCATCGATCTGATAATTTGCCAGACGTCTTCGAATTCAACAGAACCCAAATGAATGGCATGTATAGCCTTTCTTAAGTTGATAAAATGCTCTATCTTCCATACGTTAAGAAAACCCTTACAAGAGTTATAAACAATTAGAGTACTGCCAAATCGCGACGCGACCGAAATCGCATGAGGTATGCCCTAGAGCATATGAGTTTATTGCAAAAGAGACTCATTTTCTGAAATGCTACATAACTTCGAGTCATTTGTAACTTAATGTGTGAGATTGCACACTATGTACAATTAGCGACGGCACTCCTACTATTAACTTTGCAGTAAAACATTTTCTAGTCTAACAAAGTGTAGAAATATGTTCTGTTGACTAACGTATGACCAACAAAAACAAAATAAACAAGGAAACAAGGAAAAATCACTGGAACTGAGTAGATTCTAGTTTTGCAGTTAGTCAGTTAGCGTGTATAATGTGCATTACACATATTAAGTTACGAATGTCTTGACGATAATTGTAGAGATATCAAAAATGCTGGCGAAAAGCTCAAGTGATACGAGACGATAGATGAAACACAGTACATAAACAGAATATAATGTAGAAAAAGCCAGGTAAAACACTGAGCTCAAAAACCTTAAAGATCTTACACTAACAATGAGAGCTGTTTCCTTTGGCAGTCCACGGCAGAAAATTGTTCTGCTTATGTACTCGGACTGAAAGGATGCACAGGAGTTAAGTTTTGACTGCGGAGCAAGAGGAACGCACATAAATACGAGCGCACCAGCGCGTAGTTTCAGCTGTCTACCTTGCGGGACAATGCCTTCCATGAATAAGTCAAAAAAATCACGCAGATCCTCTCTACAATATATCTACAGTACTGAGAAGCAGACAAAAACGCAGAAGTAATAACTAAGCCCAGAGCACAAGCGAGCTTCTATGACGAATTCATCCCGAATATGCACTCATTTTAACACAATTCAAGTGTTCACTCACCATGTGGGTCACATTGTCCCAGGCAGTTACTGCATGGCCTACTATGTGGGTCACGTTGTCGTCATTGTGTTAATCCAAAGTGCACCACTCTCGGTGCAGTGCATTTTCTGATGTGTAGAAGCTTGGACACAGTAGGAGGCTAGATTCCACGAGTCGCTTGTTACTTTAGGTTACTCAATGTGCTTATTCACTGCACTCATTGGGCAACCTACCATGAGCAAAATCTGAAACGATTCGTGGAATTCGACCTCCTACTGTGTCCAAGGTAATTCTATGCATCAAAAGAAAAAATTTGTCCACTCTGAAACGAAATATGGCCACGCTACGGTGATGTCACATACATCGAGCGACTGTGCGTCCTTATTCTACAAATCACGAGCGGTATTGTTTTACAGCAGTAATGTGCTGTACACCATTTTACGCACTACTACGGAAGTGAACGGGAACTTTTGCAAGGCAATAGAAATGCGACGGTTCACAAATTGGCCCTTTAATTCAAATCTTTGATGTAGGTGTTCCATGCATTGGAAAGGATATAATGCTCTTGTTCTGGATGTGGACCGCTTCGTAAAGCTTAGGTTGATGTAACATTTAATGAATAAGACATGAATACATTTTTTAGCGGGATGATTCGAAATAACAAAAATTGTTTGGGCGAGTAGTCTGCTCCAAGACAAAGGTGCTTCAATCTCATTTTGTAACACAGAATCGACACGTTCAGTATAAAGGCCTCTAACTTGAGGAAAGCCAGACACAGAGAAAAATTTCTTTGCAAGATCGCATGACAGTGCCATATGGAACAACGCTGATGCGTTGTTACCTCCTAAAGAAGATCAAAGTTTATAGTATTGGTCCTCTTTTATTCATCCAATGTGCTAGATTGACCAATATGAACATCAAAAATAGGCTTACGATAAAATCGCAAGAAAATTTCTGTTTTGTCGTACTTTTAGTATTTACAAGCGAAGCCCTGGAGAGAATGCGTCTTTTCTCTCTCTTCTTTCCTCAATCCTCTCCTCTTCGTCCATGCCGCTGCCTCCCACTCTCTCGTCTTCCTGAAATGTGAATATAAGCAAATGTGGAGAACTTCCATGCGTTGTCATGTGTAGCACAATTGCGGAAGGATCTTACGAAGGAGCATGTTTAATCGAAGTGCCTTTATAGATGGGATGTATACATTATTGGAGAGCATAAAACGCTTATTCTATATCTGCCTGTCTTATCTGCGGAGCGTTTGTGGACGAGGAGTTATGAGCAGGGCCCGGCACGAGGTCGGCAAATGACAAGCTGGAAATCGTTCTGGGGCCAAAAAGCAAAGGGGAAATCGTTTTTGCGGGGTCCGGGGCAGAGCCCCGGAAAAAAATTGGTAGTTCATGCTCGCTACTTATCTTGACATGTTATGTGCCTCAACAGGCGAACACTGGAGTTCGCGCGCGTCAAACCGCGCCGTCGCCAAGTGCCGCACGCGCGACGTCGCCCAAGCGATGCTATTTGTAACTGCATACATGACTAGTTCTCAATGTGTGTGTAACGATATGGCACCAAATTTTGTGTGCGAACGGACAGAGGCTAGTGGAAACATAGTATGAAAAATTATGAAAAACTTATGTGAACGGAACGAGTAATTAGCATTTTTTCCGAGAATTTCGCAAAACTGGTAAACGAAAATGTGAATTTAAACGGCTCGTTTGGAAAGCGCAGATGAACGATACGGTATGAAACTTGGTAAGTACATGCACACGGGCTTGCAGGACTTAACTGAGGAGTTTCATGAGAAATTATGTGACTGAAGGTTGTGGCAAACTTTTTTCTGGAAATTTTGCGCTACCAAAGAAATGGAAAAATGGCTCGTTTGCAACGCAGCGGTAACGAAATCGCGCGTTCTTCGGTGAGTATATGCGCAATAGGACTAAGTAATAAAGTATGAAATATGATGAAAAACTTATGTGAATGAAGAGTTTCCTTAACTTATTTCCAAATTAGGTCGGCATTTGCCGACCTAATTCCCACCTGAGGTCGGCAAAACTCTCAATTCACATAATTTTCTCAAAATTTTTACATAAATCTGTTGTACACCTAAAGTTTACTACATGGTGAAATTTTGGTTCCGAAACTCCTCTTCTTGTCCTTGTTAGAGCCCAAAATCGCATCAGCAGCCTAGCTTTCTAAGATAGAAAGCGCGCCCCAGTCAATCGATACGCGCGGGAACGGCGTCTCTCATTCCTATGACTGCGTTTCTTTGATATTTTCTCATTCCCTAATCCTTTTTACTGCTTATTTTTCTTCCTGTTTCCTATCTTGGTACAACAATTTGAGTAATATGAGGAATTTGAGCAATTTGGGCGCTTTTGAGCGCTTTTAGGCGAAGTGTGGCCGGTAATCTCGTCGCACAAGCACAAAACGTCATTTTTGGGCTCAAGAGAGTATTCGTAAAACTTACTGGGATCAAAGGGGTGTTCGTTTTGGAAAACCCCGTTTGCCCAACTTGTGCCGGGCCCTGGTTATGAGTGTTGATAGAAATCAAATTAAATGAGAAGAAATTTGAATCAAGTACGGCAAAGATAGTCGTAATATTCTCTTAAGTGATTTGATGGATCAGCGATAGTTATGTACTTATTTATCTATTAAATGAATACTTTATTCATAAAATTCTATTAGACAAAAACTTGCACTTGGATGCTTTATTTAAGAACAAGATAGATTTTAGCAGCTCATCTTACCATCGATGTGCAACTAATTTTTTGCTCCTTTAAACGCTCATAACTCCTCGTGCACAAGCGATCCGCAGATAAGGAAAGCAGATTTGAAATTAGCAATTTATGCTCTCCAATATGGTGCACATTCCATTAAAAAAGGCCATTTCGACTGAACATGCTTCTCTGGTTAATTCTTATGACGTGAACACAAGACATAGGTGAATGAGGGATAGCTAGAAGCATCACTGCTGACAAAGTTGGATTATAATCAACGTCAATTGGCTTATTGGTGGAAGTTAACTAGATTTTAAAATTCAAGAGCTAGTTATGCCTGTTATATCCCTACCCTATAGAGCCATGTTACAGCTCGATCAAACCTGATATTTGGTATTTTCATAAGCTCAACTTAAAAGTGTTTGCATATTGCGATCTACTTCCTATATGTGCACGACTTACCAAACAAACAGGATCGTAAACGCATTTGCTGATGCAGTTTCATGTTCCGTGTTACTGAGCCTTTATGAGCATGAAGGTGAAGAGCAAGAATAATTGATGGTCTACATTCCTCTCTATTTGAATCAAATGCGTGCACAATGATGTTTGGAAGAACTTGTGATAAGCTCATCTGCACTGAATGTAGAAAAGCTCTAAAAGCAGTGATGTGCTCAAATGCACCAACTATAAAACGGGACTCATAAAAAAATTCAATATAAGCAGTGCGGGCGCTAAGCCTCGCAACACAGTTATGTCGGGCTAAACCGTCATCTGTCAAAACTTGAAAACTCCATTCTCCTAGGACATTTCCATTCATAAATTGTCAACATCAATTTTTCTCGTAAAACTGAATAGTCGCTGCATCAGCTCCTGTCCATTTTGGATTCAAAAGTAGTCTATTTTGCAATAAACCTTGTTGCCCTTAGGAAAATAACGACCACTTGCCCATCAATCGTGACATTGCATGAGTGCGTGCATGAATGGTCTTGCAATCTGCTCGAGTACAGCCCACTCATGATTCACTGGATGCTACTCTTGGTGAGTCTAGATATACATATTTGAATTCTTTCGCTCTGAATATTTAGTTCTCACCGGTGTTTGGCGATGTTTTCGAAGACTGCCATCGACTAGGCAAAAAATGGAAAGATCCTTTTAGACAAGTGATAAAAAATCCGGATTTCTTCAAGGTGCGTTAAGATGTGAGATTATTGCAGGTGATAGCAGCAGATTTTTCATTTTGAAAGAGCAAGATGCATTGTCGCTGAATTCGCTTCTTAAAGTATTAGTTTGGCGGTCCCAGGATCTGTTGCAGTCAGTGAGGACTCTTTTTCTATTACTGTTGTCTGCTTGTTTGCAATTTTGACAGAAAAATTTTTGCGCTATGTGCCACTTTCGAATGCTCTCTATTAGGAATCGCAGCGAAAAATTGAAGCGCACTGTTCAACATAAGCTTTATGATCATTTTTATATGCATCTTGTCGAAAAGTTTTTGGCAATATGTATGACTAATAAAATGTGCCACAAGAAATCATATATTGTGAATATCCTCAAGACTACGAAAAAAATTTCTGAGGCACGTATGGAGAGAGGTCATGAAACTATGTAATGATGCCGGTTTTGCCAAAGCTCGAGTAACCGTCTTGTGGCTTAATTTCCTTACACGTTTCCATACAATGAAGGCGACGGTTTACAATATAGCAATATCTCTTTTAAACGGGTATGATAGCTGGATAATGGTTTATGGAGGTGTAAAACCTATGTTCATTCCACGAAATGTGCAAAAAGAAAGCCAAAAAGTGACTATTCTTATCTTGAAAGTCCTTTTATCTTTAAAACCGGGCATACAAAAGACAACTTCAGTCTGTTCCGTGCCGTACAGGCTTCTATAGTTATACACTTTATTGCGTTACGTTTCAGCTACACAACGTCAGAGGCCTGAAAGTGTCAGTCAGAATGATGTCCGCTCTTGACCGCCAAACACCTCTTCCTACTTGTATAATCGATTCAACTAGTGGGGAAGGAAGTCGGGCCATAACTTCCACTCTGCATCTATTACCAAAGTGGAAGATACGGCTTGGGTCAGCGGTAGTGGATAACTGTTCATTCTTGCTGTTCATTATGGGATCACGCCTATGAATGTAAAATGCTCGCAAGACTTTTCGCGCAGCTATTCGGTTTTCAGAGGCTAGTATTGTCACCTTATGTCATAGTCCGCACTTTCGTGGCCAGCCGTTAAACGTGCTATAATTCGCAATATGTTGAAAACGGCAGCGAACAGCAGTAGCGGTGGGATTGAGAAGCAGGAATCACTAAAAATGGCGGACAATATAATGGTATCCAATGGTACGACCCAGACAAAACAAAAAGGCAACAGCGCAGGTATAGATCAGGTCATCACAAGGTAAGCACATAAAGGAAGAGCAAGGAAGTACAGACTAAGACTCGTCTAAAGCAGTTGCACACTGCAATACCGGTATTACACTGGTGAGTAAAAATCATTGCCCGACCTCCTTCTTCCACACTATATGAATCATCATGCGAGTGAGAGGGAGGTGTGGCGGCCCAGAGCGGACATCGTTGTGATTGACACCTTTCAGGCCTCTGACGATGACGTGTAGCCGAAAGTACGGCAACAAAGTGTGTTAGTATAAAAATTAATTTGCATTTCTAGAGAGGTTAAAAAAACCAAAACATAAAAAGAGGGGCTTTTTTGATTGAAATTCGAACCTGCTTTCATATATACTCCTGCTGACCCAACCTTATCAACTTCGCTGCGAACATGTGACACGTTTGGTTAGAATTCAAAAAAGGATGGTTGAATGAAAAGATGGGATTCGGACTGCTTTCCCGCGATCAACTTATAAAATGCAAAATTCAAATTTTCGCAAAATGTAAGAAGTTTTTTCCAATTGTAGCAATATTTTTGTGGTCTATGCAAAAAATTGATAAAGATGAGAGCTGACCAGCAGATTGAATAGAGTGCTGAGATTCCAAGCTGAGGATCGCTGCGTTAAATTTTTCGACAGCGGTTTTTTATTTCGTTGCACCCATTCTGTTGCTGTCTCCACATCCAGAACCTAAGCTGCAAATTTTTCGACATTCAGCCACGTAAATACTGCCGAGCACTGCATTTAGGGCAAGCATCGCTATACTTGCTCTGATGGCTGACTATGCTCTCTTCCAAAACTTTTCGCTTGTGCTTCTTACTTTTCGCAAAACTTCGCTGAAACAGCAAATTTGTGTGTTTTGAGAATGAGCCGAGAAATAAATTCAACATTGAGTTCCATAAGTTGTGTATCATTTATAGAAAATCTTGAGTTAGCCTAACCAAACCTTTCAAGCTCGAAATCGTAGCAGCATTACTTTGGATGTAGGGCTTTCGAAAAATCGTGACGAGGGCACGACCGCGCGCACTTCCAGCGACCGCATTTTCTTGGTTTTATCTCTACTGGAATGGTTTTTTTTTGCTTACATAGGCTTGTATTCAGATACTGGAAGTGCCTATTGAGCTTAAGGTAATACCTCTTTGTATGGGTGTCTTATGCCTTTGCGTCAGCAAAGACCGCATTCAAACCCGTCGTCACGAACTTAAGAATGACCTATACCCGACTTGCAATAATGATTCAAAAAATAATTGCGAGCAAATTTCAAAGTTCAAAAATTCTTCCAGTAAAAGCGAGCTAAATTAATCCATTACTACATCAGAAATATAAATGTGATTTGGAAGCAAGAGCAGAATTCTCAGCATTTTACGGGAAATCAGTGAAGGGATTTACAAGCCTCAATTATCCATATAGGTACGCTGCCTGCTTATATCGCTTCTCACTTTGCTCAGTACGAGTTTCAGTATTCCATCAGAAGACCCCAAGTCCCTATTTCAAACTGTCAGCGATTTCATCACCAGCATGGCTGCTATATTCAATGAGGTAATAGTTTCTCTTTCTGATTAGAAACTAGTGAGGAAGGTTGGATTAAGGTTTCAAATGCTAAACTTAGTAGCCGAGTCAAATTGAAGAGAGTTAGAAGAATGGAGACATGATCCAAATTTTACTCTAATTTTACTTTTATTTTACTGCAATTTTACTCCCCTTTTATTTTACTATTTTCATTAGCAACAGCTAATACTATCCTCAGTCACCTTTTCTAATCACGAAAAAATACACTTACGTTTATTTGAAAGTCCGACGTAGAGATTTTTTCGATTTTTGAGGCATTCACATAATTTTCAACTTTGGCTTTGAACTTTGCTTGGATCAAACTTAGTGCGAAAGCTTGATATCCCAATATCATCGTAGAGCTAGTTCTGCTCTTTCAAAAAATTACAGGAACCTATTGCGATGTCAGAAGAGTATAAATTCATGTGATAAAGAATCGCAGTCTAACACGGGAAGCTTGTTTAGTTAAAGTGGCCTTTTCAAATAAGATGTGTACCTATTAAAGGGCATAAAACGCTGATTCCAAATCTGGCTTCCTTATCTGCAGAGCGTTCATGGTCGAGGAGTTATGAGCGTTTTTGGAGCCAAAAATTGATTATGCATTTGGAGTAAAATGAGTTGCTAAAATCTTACTACCCCTCAAGTGATACCCAGTGCAGTGCGACATATTTTTTATTTTAGAATATGTTTGAATAAAGTGCTCTGATGATTATCACTGCCTTATTGAAGAGCTAGAAAAAGTATTACGGCTATTTTTGTCCTACTTACATATTCAATTTTTTGCTCCAATAAGCGCTCGTAACACCTCGTTCACAAACGTTTTGCAGATAAGGAAGGCAGATTTGGAATCAGCATTTTATGCCCTTCAGTATGGTATACATCCCGTCTAAAAAGGCCACTTCGAGCAAACATGCATTCCTTGTAAGAAAATCATGTCACAACCTAATATATCTAATCCTTGCCCTTTCGCTACCTGAGATAAAAAAATAGAGCAGCGTTAGTGAACTGTTCGTTTCCCAGCGCAGTTTTGCAAGCTTTATTCAAATTCATCATATTTCTTTCAGCTTGTGGCTTGTTCAAAGGGTGTAGGATGTGGAACGTATGAACATGAAGATAAATACGACGGAATCATCTCATGTGTTTTTGATACTACTAATTCAAAATGCAAACTTTCGGAACTAAAACTCAAGTACTTGCAGAAGTCTTCTCTTAAGAATGGTCAAGAATCTCCCAAGCAGTTATGGGTAACCTAGTTCAGTGCAGTTGGTAATAAACATTTGATTCGAGTTGTCACTTGATCTGTTGAAAAGGTTTTTAAAAAGCAATCTTGGATCTCGCTCGTTGACTGTTCACGTTCCATTCTGTTCGTTAGGATTGTGAAGACTGTGAAAAAAAAAAGACGCAAGAGAAAAGGATTCAAAAGTAAACGAGACTAGGTCGATTCGCTAGTCTAGTACAGGCAGCATCTTCTTCGTACATGAGGATCTTACGGCTATTCAAACAGATCTGTTTTTCGACAACCAAAGAAATCAGCTCTAAAGTCGTTCCTATATCAGTGAAAACTTAGATGTCCCATCTTGTTCTTTGATCACCTTACTACAATACAAGGAACCATGTTTAGTGGCCTCTCTGATTGGGATGTATATTAAACTGAAGAGGATAAAATGCTGATTCCAAATTTGCGTTCATTATCTGCGGAACCATGGTGGACGAGGAGTTATGAGCCTTTTTTGAAGCAAAAAAGAAAATTGCATCTAACATAAGATAGGTTGCCATAATCTGGCTAGCCCTTGAATATAGCAACCGAGTGTGATGTATTTTTTGTATCTGACAATGAGGTTTTTCTTGAATAAGGTGCTCAGATAATCGTCATTGCTCCTTTAAAGCGCTAGAGAAATATATTAAGACAGTTTTCGTCCTGATTGTGCATGAAATTTTTTGCTCTAATAAAAAAGCTCATAACTCCTCGTCCAAGAACGTTCCGCAGATAAGGATGGCAGAGTTGGAATCAGTATTTTACACTCTCCATAGTACACATTTCATCTGAAAAGGCTGCTTCGACTAAACGTGGTTCCTTTGTTGGCTTCGTTGCAGTAAATACATTTGAAATTTACAGTTAAACATCATGACATTGTAATACATCTGCGCATTTCATTGTAGTGATTCAGATATATACAACAGAGGCATGGCAATAAATTTATACAAATGTACAATTTTTTAATCAATACCCATAAGCAGTATATGGCGATAGCAGTACTGAATTTTGTGTAGAACAATGTACACTGAAGGGGCGTTTCTTTTTGTCGATGGAGTCACGAGAACGTAGCGACATCTTTGCCAACTTGTCACTAATCCTCCAAGTGCTTTCTCGAGAAAACGATGAAGCATTGAAAGGTTGCGAAATGGGCAAACTGAAAAATTAAGATTTGATGCAGATTTACGTGGTCAACTTGCAGCTTACCGAGGTATTTCCGGTTGATTTTCTGGCGCATAATGATACAAATTGCTCTGCACACACATAGACTGCGTCATTTGTGGACTACAGTAACCAGGTGGAACAAAATGGTCTCGATATGCGTAGGGACTGTAGTATCCAGGTGGATACGGATTCATGTTGCAGGGAGGTGGCATATAGTAGGGCATGGCACGATATGGAGCTGTTGCGGCAGGTTTCACCGTCAGAATCAGGTTAGCCGAGTTGGCGATCATGATGTCGGTGACTTGGTCGAGGGTTTTACCGGAAACCTGAAAAGTTCCTCACTGGATGTCCAACATTTTGCATAAATCAAAGGCAAATTACATCGATGCCGTTAACTTCCATGATTTCGTCATTAACATTGAGGAGATTCGTAGATGCTGCGAGACCATTAGGCAGAAGTCGAGATATAAATATCCCTGGATGAGGGGCGAAACCCCATGGAGTGAGGCGTTCGGAGAATCCTAAAAAGCAGCGACTAATGAAAATCAATTAACAACACCCATTTTTTTATTCGATGTTACAAAATGCTCAAGGCACATAGAAGGCAACAACAATATTGGACTTGATCACGAAGAAAATTCTTTGAATACACAATTGTATTTAACTGTAAAAAACTTAGTACAAATCAAGAATACAAAAGCACTAGAAACGGACTTTCCATTCACCAACTCTCCTACATTCAACGGAAAAATTAAATTCCTCTTTCACTGCTTCTCTAGTTTCTCTACTGTCCTTTTCGTTAGATGAAGTAGTTTTCACTATTCCACAAATAGATGAATATGAGAGGATTGTCTCTCACATAAAATATTGTTCTGCAAACATTGTGCAAGGAAAGAATAGATCAGCTCTTCAATTCTGAAAAAATGCGCGAACTTAACGCAACAAGATAGCTCTTAGTAACATTGGCATATGTCCATATGTTACAAGAAATTGCTGCAAATATTCTTCCCAAACAAATTGTATGCTTTTTTGCTAAGTGCATCTCATTTTTCGGATCTCTCATCTAACAACTCTTTACTCGTAGTTATAATTCAATGAAGCCTGGAGCAATGAGCAATGAGAACTGAATATTTGCCTTCTCTAGGGCTTATCTCACCATCTCTGATGAAGAAACCTAGTGGCTTGTTGTTGTAGTATTTACATAATCGTACACGTCGAAGTTCATGAGGTAGAACATCTGCGTCCAGAATGGATGAGACCTAAAATTTGGCAGAGATTAGTGTAAACAGAAATGCTATGAAGATTGATCAATTTTTAAATTGACAAGGCAAATTTTTTGGGACCAATACTTGTCATTTTGTCCCATTAGGCTCAAAAGTAAGCCGTTTGGAGGAAACTCTGGGCATAACTTTTTTATTTAGGCCATAAAATTAGATTATAACCTATCAAATCGCAAATCCTGATTGTTTAGCCTTTTACACTCAATCTTGACATAAATCTACACTATTGAGCACCACTAGAATAGAACGTCCAATAAAACATAGCAAATCAACAGTTTACGATCACACTGCAGTCGCTCAGGCAAGGCAAAGTAGCATTCCGCGATCATCAAGACAAAAAACCATCAACTATACTTACATGACCGAAAAACTCTCTCAATAGATTTCTTAGAAAAGCTTTTTGCAATTTTCTGGAGCAGATCTAGAAGAAGAAAGACACACCCGTCTGAAATCCTGAGGTGCAGATATGGACAATTTTCGTTTTTTCCGATTCAGCGCCTCTTGTTTAACACCGTAGCCAAATTGTTCTTCAAGTGTCTCGCCTTTATGTTGAACTACGAGCCGAAGCACTCGGCCTCGAGTTTCCAATGCTTTCTTGAGATTCTGAAAATGAATGTCTGATCATCTGTAACATTTCAACCATGGAGCGGACAGTCAAATGGTAGTCTCACAACTTTTGGTAATAAGTAGCAGGGCTCGGCACAGGTGGCTTGTAAGCGAGCTAAATATCGTTTTTGGGACAAAAAACAAAGGGCGTATCGTTTTTTTAGGCCGAAAAGTCATAAGAATTGCGAAGTTTTTTTGATCGACGTTCGTTCTTTGATGGTCTCTTTACGTTTAGAATTTAGGGTTCGGGACTTTGTAAAAATCCGCGAAAGTCAAGGGAGACTTCGTTTTTGCATTTTCCAAAAGCCACCTCGTGCCGAGCCAGATATAGAGTAGATGTTAAGGTAAAGCAGTTACCATACCTCATCATTAGAGATCGGTAAAGTGCTCCCATCATTTGCTACGTAAGTAATGTGTGTTGTAGATTTCTGATCTCTGTTTAGTCGATGAAGATCCTAAATATAATAAATCTAATTTTTTCTAAAAAAATGTAAATAAACATACCTGTATAGTAGCTACAAATTCGTCGTACGACGGAATAGGCTTGCCAGCGCCTACTTTTATCGAGAATCGCCGGAACTCTGATCCAAATTGTGACTTGATGGGTAATTGAACTTCCTAAATTTGGTACTATCGTAGGGGTCTCCGACATTTTCTACAGCAAAGGGATTTTTTGATCCACTATACCCCACAATCTGCTTTACCAAAATGTAGGAAATTTTCAAGGGAACGTTACATGGTCAAAGTTGAGATGATATGTGACGATTGTGAGCATTTCCCATTTCCATTTTTAGCGTACCTCTCTCTTTTACTTCCATCCACCACTTATCTCTTTAATTATGCTCTAATTTCCTCCTCGGAAGATTATTAGACGGATTTGTGACAGAGGTAACAATTAATTCTTCGTGGCTACTCCGTGAAGGATGTAGGGCCATAAACCCTATCTAGATTCTCACACTCTTATCACTTTATCAAGCTACCATAACCACTAGGTAAATCTCAACTCCGAAAGACTTGATCCCGTTGAAATGGACCTGCAGCCGAACGAAAAAACTTTAGAGTAGGCATACGCAAAGGGAGGGGGACAGGAGAACTATGGATTGCGAAATTATGAAAGTGTTTAAAGAGAGCTGTTAAAATATGTAAAAAAATTTGTTCAAGTGTACTGACAATCAAGATTAAGCACCTCATTTAATTAGCTTCGTGGAAATTATGCTTGGAACTTATAGGCATGGTGGGTGTTCATCTAAAAGAACTACTGTCGACTCCTCCACCCCCCAAAAAAAGGTCTGCGACACATTCTTATACAGTTTTACTTGGACGTGACTATATATTTAAACAAAAGCACACTAAGACACTATGTTTGTCGATTGGAAAGGTTTCTACCAACAAAAACTTTCGAGCTGTGTATGAACACTGTCACATTTGTGAGAAATAGGAGATTTCTCCTGCACGAGGCTCGGCACAGGTGGCTTATAAGCAGGGTCAAGCAAGGGGTGTGGCACACGATCGCTGGTTACGACCCCCCCCCTCTGAACTATACACTTAAGATAGCATTACTTGAAGGCTCTGTCAAACATAATGGCAGCATATCCATAATTAGCATGTCAATTAACCCCTGTAGACGATGTTTGAGCGGATTCTGAAGATTCAAGATACTAGGCTACCTGAATGAAATGGTCAAATTCCAACATGGTTAGCTTTGTTTCAAAGGTGAATTAGCCATCCGTTTTTTGCACTCAAGACAAAGCACTACTCCTTCTTTGTCCACCTCAGGAATCCCGCTTCAGAAAACCTCCAAACTGTGGAATTAGAAGCCAACCAAAACCTCGTTTTTCCCATTTTTCGCTTTTGATCGCTGTGCTTTCACCAAATATTACTCAGAGCTAAGAAGACGAATCAGGCTCAAATCACTCCTGTGAAAACTAGGAGATCTAGGCTATCGATCCATATAAATAAGGTTTGCTAAAAATGTTTCTATGACATAGTTAATGGGGTGCTGCACACCCCCTTAAAAGCTGCGGCTGCCGTAGCTTTCAAGGGGGTGTGCCGCACCCCATTCACTATATCAAAAAACATTTTTAGCGGACCGTATTTATATGGAACGATAGCCTAGATCTCCGAGTTTTCACAGGAGTGATTTGAGCCTGATTCGTCTTCCTAGCTCTGAGTAATATTTGGTGAAAGCACAGCGATCAAAAGAGAAATGGGAAAAGCGAGAATTTGGTTGGCTTCTAATTCCACAGTTTGGAGGTCTTCTGAAGTGGGATTCCTGAGGTGGACAAAGAAGGAGTAGTGCTTTGTCTTGAGTGCAAAAACGGATAGCTAGTTCACCTTTGAAACAAAGTTAACCATGTTGGAATTTGACCATTTCACTTAGGTAGCCTAGTATCTTGAATCTTCAGAATTCGCTCACACTTTGTCTACAAGGGTTATTTGACATGCTAATTATGGATATGTTGCCCACTATGTTTGACAGGGCCTTCAAAGTAATGCTATCCTAAGTGTATAGTTCAGGAAGGGTCTTATCAAGACAGCAATCAGGGGGGGGGGGGTGAGGGTCGTAACCAGCGATGGTGTGCCACACCCCTTGCTTGACCCTGCCTACTTATAAGCAAGCTGGATATCGTTTTTTGGACCAAAAGCAAAGGGGATATCGTTTTTGTGGGGGCAAAAAAAGGCAACTTAGGTTACGTTTTCTAGTCGACGTTGTTTTTTATGTTTAGGGTATAAAGTCAAAGGGGACTTCGTAAAATTTTGCAGAAGTCAAGGGAAACTTCGTTTTTTACACTTTCGGAAAGCCACCTAGTGCCGAACCCTGCTCCTGCAGAACAAGTTGTGCACCATCTAAACAAACGGTTGAGCTTCGCAGACAAAACCATTGTCTACAATCGAGGAATGTGTAAGTTCACGTCTTGAGTGGTTATGTCATTATATCAGGTGAACGATCTTTTCTCATTCATCAAAGAGAATAAAACTAGGCTGTCATTATCGATCACCTCCACAGGTTCAAATATCTGAAGTCTCTTTGATGCTAAAGTCATTTCGACTTCTTCAAGTGCTTCCCAACAACCTTAGCGTAATGGGAGAAAGGTGTTCCATGCTCAGTGGTCCAGGTCCGATAATGGGCAAATAAATCCGCCAAGGTCAAGCTTCGGCACACGGAATCGCGTGTGAACACACCGAATACCCATCAAGCACTAGTGGTCTAAAACCCATGGCAGCGATAACGTCATATAATTGAATGGATGGGAAACAATGTGATTTTTCATGCTGATTTGAGGGCAATGATTCGTGCTCCGCAAGTGCAATCATATGCAAGTTCTATACAAAATGTCCATATGGTTCATGAAAAATGCAGAAGCGCCACATGGTGGCCATCAGAGGGATTAAAAGAATGGAATATTCACAAGCAGATAGGTAGAAGGTCAGTGTGGCCTAACAACACATAAAGAGCTAAAAAACGTGAAATATCTCTCTTATGTGATAATAAGCTTCGACCAGTTTGGATGTTTCTTCTTTAGTAAGGAATTCTATAGACACATCCTCAACTGCACCCAAATAGAAAAAATACTCACAAATTTTGGTATGCCAAGACTTAGAAAGAGTTACACTTTCCGAATTTTGATTGACCCAAAAAAAGTTAATAATGATTGATTTCTAGTTCTATATTCAGATGTTTTCACAAAATAAAACTGTGAGATGTTTGGCCTTACCTCTAATTGACAAGACTCTACATTGTTGATTTTATTGATAGAGTTCAGAGATCTGTATGATCTAAGCGAACAGCCTTGTACTGAGCCGTAGAAAGACGAAGGACGTTTGGGCGACATCCTGAAAAAATCAGATTTGCAATAACGTATTTGAGGAGATTGCGAAATGAAATGCGCAGACAGAAACGAGTTATATCGCTAAACATCTTCAAGAATAGTAAATACTAAGGATGACGATATTGAATGTTTACAAATTTGGTACACTTTAAATAAAGAAAGAAAAACAGAACCTTTGACGCGGAACAGAAGATGCTAAAATGTACTGATAAGCACATGGAACAGATTGGAAGATAAAGTAAAGGTGCAAATCTGGTACACAACATAGAGACAACAAAACGCCTATTTACTTATGTTACCCAAACATGATACACATCTTTTGATCCGTAAAGCACCATCTCACTCAGTCCACAAATTCTATTGCCAAGCGACTTCACTAGATAAAATAGAAGGTTGCAGAAGAAATATATGCAGTCAGCTTCAAGAAGAAACAAGGCTGGATGTACGCTACATAAACCAAAGTATGTGGAAGCTTCAGGGGAACACCTAATGAGGCGTTTAGAAAAGCAAAACAGGAGCAAGACCTATTCTAGAAGGTTACGAGCATATGTACGATCCGATGATGACATAAAACCAACTTCGTGGGTATTACTACTGTCGGTAGCAGTAAAAAGCGGAGTAAAAGTGAAAAGCGACGTTAATGAAAGTAATATCTTAAGAGAAAGACGATTATCTCATTATCTCTCGCAAGGAAAGTAAATGGGAGCAAAAAACAAGAGCGAGACAGTTGAAGGGTGTAAGCCATAATTTTCGCATAAATCGTTATGAATTGCAAAGCAATAGAATTTCAATCTTCAAGCATGTCAGTGGAAGCTTTTATCAACTTTAACTACTATAAAAACTAACCACGGAAGATAGGCTAATCGCCCTTATCTAAGGAATTATGACAAAGGTAGAAATGATCAAAAGGTTATTTTCTTTTCTTCACAGCTCAAATAGAAATCCATCACTAAAAAAATTTGTATACTAAGATACGCGGGTGCCATTTTTTGACGAAAATGACAAGAATTCCTAAGAGGACAATTCATAATCTATACACTAGAGAATGGAGCTAACATAAGAAAACTACCGTAAGGCAAAAAATCTATGAGCTCTAAACTGAAAAAGAAAACTCGTCAATACACAAATAGCAAGCACAATTTTTGTACTTGCATCACATATAGACCTCATGCTGTTCTTAGGTCATTCGGCTTCTTTGTGCGCAGAAATGATAGGAGAGAACTTGGTAGAAGACGATAAAATCAAAGATAAGTAAGAATGAGTGAAAATGGGAACTACAAAGAAAATGAAAATAGAATTGATGATCAAAGTAAAAAGGATCAGTGGAACAAAAACAGAACGAAAATTGAGAAAAATCGATCAAATTATGTAGAAATATCACTAGTAATTTTCGAAAATTTTGAGAAGTTCTCTGGCAAAACATCAAATTCATTTCGATAGTCAGCAGATTCAGCAGATTAACTCATACGGATCCTAAGCTATTTCTTGCCAAAAATATCTTCAATTAGATTGTCAAAGTTATGAATCCAGCAGTAAAATAAAAATAATTCTCAATTTTAGCTAATTCAAATCAGCGCAATTGAAAATTCAACAATAATGAAGTGGGATTACAGGATATTAGATTCACAAGCTATAAATTTTGATATACTTATTTCTAAGCATTCAAAAAATAAAGTATGCAGGCCTCCCCTTCCATAGTGATAATGGGAAGTTCCGGGTAAGTCGGTAAGTGTTCAAACTCTCTAAGGGCGGAAACAAAACGAAGTTTTGTAATGTTTTTTGACAAATTTCAAAAATTTTTATCAATTATCGAAGAATACCGTGTACAAAAACCAAAAAGTTAACTTTGCGTTCATTGTATATACAGTAAGAAATTCTAGCAGATTTATGAGAAACTATTCGACTCGAAACACATGACCCGTAACCTTGAACGCTTAGATGATTTCGTCTACGAATCTAATACAATTTAACCGCGTGTGTTAGACGCAAAACGCAATCGCAACGAGTTTTGGCAACGAGCCAGACCAGTGATGGGGCGCTCGTCAGCGTATGTTCAACACATAAAACGGTGATCGTTCTCGTTCTTTTTTCTGACGCTAATTGCTGGGCAGCTGTCCGCAGCATAGAGGGAAAGTGGCTATGATTCTATTGTTTGGTTGCTAGAAATTGACGAGAATTGGAAGAAGAAGGGGAGAAGAAAGAAGGGGGAAAAGAACTGTGAAGGATGTGGATTTCTAGACTTTTTACTGCAGAGATTGAAGCGAATTGATATAAAGAGAAAATAGGCAATGAAACAGAAGCGCTGTAGCTTCGTACGAATGACTCAGCCAGGATGTCAACACATCTTGAAACAGAACATCCCCTCAGAAACACGACTTTTATGAAAAAGAGTGTGAAATTGCAAGTCCGCGCCAATCCAGCTGCAGCTGCGCGATCTTTTTCTGTCCCGCTGAATCTGTCGTGGCTTTCGCGAAATGGTGAAATTCGCAAGGATTACGAAAAGTCATGCAAAAAAGTGCAAAGAATGGTGGTCCGGGTATGGAACGTCTTCAGCTACTCATCGATCGATACGGCACCTCTTCGGACGTGGGAGGCGGAGTGACAATGAACAATGCGTAGGGGTCAGATGAGCACTTACACCCGCATGAGCACTAGACATCGCTGTTATTGAGAAAGGCAATTTTTTATTTATCTAACCTGCCGGGAACGTCATGGTACGGGTTTTAGCCACCAAGGGTTTTTTTCAAAGCACAATTTTCTGTCTAAAAAAATCGCAGTTTGAGTTTTGCCCCATGAAGAACGTACTAAACTTTCGGGGAAAGCATGGTGAATGTAAATATGTGACGGCAGCATTATTAGTAGCGCAGTAGTGGAACCAGAATCAGAGAATAGTAGAGTTTACAAATCCTGTAAGTCATAGTTTATGACTAGCAAGTGGGTCGGGGCAGATACATATAAGGGCTTAGGTTTGACTAAAAATATTTCTAAATAAGTTTCCTGTTCCTTTCCTGAGAATATTTTTGCGAAGAGCATTCCACAAAAGGAGAACTGCTCGAAAAAGCGATGATCTCCATCTCCACAAATCATTCAGCATTTCTCAAATTATTTTCATCTCGTTTACACACTTTTCATGCAAATTTCCCTCCTCACAGAGACATTCAGATAAACCCCCCCCCCCCCACTTTTCTACCCTTTCAAAGAAAATTTGCTCTTTTAGTTCTTCTCAGCAAGTTCCATAAAAGATCGTTGAGTAAGTAGCAGAACATACGTTTTGGAAGTAGAAATACATCATAATAATTATGTGTATTATAAAAAACACTTTTCTCTCAGAATCAGTTCCGACAGCAACGAAATCAGCCGTCTAAGAACTTTGTCACAGAATCCTTCAATTTTTTCGCCAAAGGAATATGAAGCTTTATACTACATAAGTAGATCCTGCCCCGAAAAGCACACTACTGAGCCACCTAAAGACCGTCAATTATAAGAACTGCATAAACGTACAAAAAATTTCTTTCCCTGTCCATCAAATTGCCCTACGTGCCGTTTACAAACCAGTTATCTATTTGAAAGAAAGTTCATGCCCTACGTGCCGCTTGAAGACCGGTAAGAAATTACAAGAACTGCCATAACATACAAAAATCTGTTTCCCTGCCCGATCGGGTTGCCCTATGTGCCGCTTACAGACCGACAGTAACTATTCAAAAAAAAGTTCATACCTTAGTGCCGCTTGAAGACCGTTCAGTAATTATAAGAACTGCCCCAAACGTACAAAAATCTGTTTCCCTGCCCGACCGGGTTGCCCTACGTGCCGCTTACAGACCGAGAGTAACTATTCAGAAAGAAAGTTTATGCCCTACGTGCCGCTTGAAGACCGTTTAAAATTACAAGAACTGCCCCAAACATAAGAAATCTGAAAAAAATCCGCTTACAGACCGATAGTCAACAAGAAAGTTTATGCCCTACGTGCCGCTTGAAGATCGTTTAGGAATTATAAGAACTGCCCCAAACATACAAAAATCTGTTTCCCTGCCCGATCGGGTTGTCCTACGTGCCGCTTACAGACCGACAGTAACTATTGAAAAAGAAAGTTCATGCCCTACGTGCCGCTTGAAGACCGGTAAAAAATTACAAGAATTGCCATAACATAAAAATTCTGTTTCCCTGCTCGATCGGGTTGCCCTACGTGCCGCTTCAGACCGAGAGTAACTGTTCAGAAAGAAAGTTTATGCCCTACGTGCCGCTTGAAGACCGTTTAAAATTACAAGAACTGCCCCAAACATAAGAAATCTGAAAAAAAAATCCGCTTACAGACAGATAGTCAACAAGAAAGTTTATGCCCTACGTGCCGCTTGAAGATCATTTAGGAATTATAAGAACTGCCCCAAACTTACAAAAATCTGTTTCCCTGCCCGACCGGGTTGCCCTACGTGCCGCTTACAGACCGAGAAACTATTCAAAATGAAAGTTTATTCCCTACGTGCCGCTTGAAGACCGGTAAAAAATTGCAAGAACTGCCATAACATAAAAATTCTGTTTCCCTGCTCGATCGGGTTGCCCTACGTGCCGCTTACAGACCGAGAGTAACTATTCAGAAAGAAAGTTTATGCCCTACGTGCCGCTTGAAGATCGTTTAGGAATTATAAGAACTGCCCCAAACTTACAAAAATCTGTTTCCCTGCCCGACCGGGTTGCCCTACGTGCCGCTTACAGACCGAGAAACTATTCAAAATGAAAGTTTATGCCCTACGTGCCGCTTGAAGATCGTTTAGGAATTATAAGAACTGCCATAACATAAAAATTCTGTTTCCCTGCTCGATCGGGTTGCCCTACGTGCCGCTTACAGACCGAGAGTAACTATTCAGAAAGAAAGTTTATGCCCTACGTGCCGCTTGAAGATCGTTTAGGAATTATAAGAACTGCCCCAAACTTACAAAAATCTATTTCCCTGCCCGACCGGGTTGCCCTACGTGCCGCTTACAGACCGAGAAACTATTCAAAGTTTC